CAGTAGAAGTTACAAATTATGACCGAAGCGCGAAAAGCTGACTTGACTTTCAAACTATTTTTTATGTGAAATTTTGTTTTTTTTTGCGCTTTTTTGGTGTTAATCGTCACATTGACCTTGTTTTCTATACAAAAATACTGAAATTGAGTCTGTATAGGTCCTGAGGAAGACGCCAGAGGCGCTAATCTCGGCCGGAAAGAAGGGTTTGACGCACTCTGCTTTTCCGGCCGATCCCCCGCCATTCACAGCGTAATTCCGCTTCATTTCTTCTCATTCCTAACGCCTCTCATTCGGTTTTTTTTTCATTCTTTTTGAGTTGCCACCTTCAATTTTCACACGCCGTGAAACCCACAAATCATTTTTTTTTTCCACCTCGCTTTTGATATCGAGTCAGCGAAGGAACAATTAGCCGTTTTGTCGGGTTTCTTTTCGTCTTCTTTATTGGCTCTCCATGCGCAATTTTTTTTTATTGAGACGTTTTGAATGAGTTGAAAATCCTGATCGTTCCTTATTAGGCCAAGTTTTGACTTTCTTTTTATGTTGCGTTTTTTTCCTTGTTCATATGATGGTTAAAATTTTTTTGATTTAGTTTCAAAAATTCACTATAAATATTCCAAATTAGTTCCGATGAAAAAGTTATTGGATTTTCTCTAAAGTTCATAAAGTTCACCTTTTTTACCCTTTTGCAACTTTCAACTTCCTTCGTTCAGCCTATTCGATTGCATTAATTATTCACATTTTCTTACGTTCTTCGTTTTATCAACTCCAATTCTTTTTCAGAAGTTGGAAAGTTTTTTTTTTCTAAATTCCATTTGTGGGCTTTTTTGCTCATTTTGACTAATATTTCTTTTCGAAGAAATTTCTTCGGAGTTTTTTAGTTCTTATGAAGAAAAGTAAGTATATGAATTAGATTATTCTAGCATATTTCAGTGAAAAATAAACTTTTGCTTTCTAATATTTTCTGAAAAAGAAGCTGTAGAAATTTTTAAGAAAAATGCGATATTTTTTTCAGCTTTTTAAAGTCTATTTTTTTGCCCAGAAATTAGATCATTGAGTTTTTCTAGTGTGTGAAACCTTTCAAAAAGAAAAAAACGAAATCGTTTTTTTTTGATGATCTAGAATCTCTAATCTTTCTCCTTTTTTTGTTATCAGCTTTCTTTGTTTGTTTTTTGGGGTTTATCTTTCAAATTCCTGGAATCCAGCCAGATCCATCTAAACTTTTCTTGTATAGACTCAAAAAAGACTTCAAAGGCTTGAAAAAACACAGATTGAACTTGATAATCTTCCTGCTGCCCACGAAAAATCCACGCGAAATTCATCCGAAATCACGCGAGCTGGCCTTTTTTCGGCAGCTGCAGCGACGTCACAAGTCGCCGACTAATTGGCTGCGTTGCAATGAAAAAATTCTTTTTGTTTGTTACAAATAGCGGTGTGCGTCACACTTTATAGTACTCCGAAAAAAGCCTTCAGTACATTTTTAGTGAATTTCGGAGAGATCGTAAGATTATATGAATAATTAATTTCTGAAACTCTCAGGTTTGCGTAAAGTAATGCTCGTTAAGATCTAGCTTCTGAAGCGTATTTAGGTGGTTTTTTTTTCTGAAAGTTACGAAAAATGTGCTCAAATATCCTCGCTTGCTGTGGTGTTCTGAATTTTTTCATGAATTTGTGAAAAAATAAAAGATTTTTCTTACTTGCTTACAAAAATGAAAAAAAATGACCTTCGCCCTAAGTTATTCATTAAGTTCACGCCCCTTTAACCGCCTCCGCAACTGAATTTTTATTTTCGAGACTACAGAAAAATAAAAATTACCGCTTTTTGACCTTCCTCTGCACTTTTTCTAGACAGGAAAAATGGAATTTTTCAATTTCGAAGTGATTTTCATGCTTCACTTCTGGTTTCCTAGCTATCTAGAATTTTTTTTTTTTTTTTTTTTTTCTACTTTCAAAGCGATTTTTAGCATCAATCCATTGATATTCTCATTTTTTTAAAATATAAATCTCTATCTCTATTTTCGGCTCCCCAATTAAATTATATAAAAATCAATTTGAAGTGATATTAATGCAGAAAAAGGTCTCTTGCCGCCTACAACAGCTGCAATTGCAGAAAATCGGGCAGAACTTGTGAAAAGTGCAAAATCATGCAAAAGCCTTAATGAACCAGGCAGAATCGGGCAGAAAATGGGACCATGAAAATCTTGACATTTCGAATCAGTTCCAGACAAGTTTTTGCTTATATTGAGTCATAGTTTGCGACTTTTCAGGAGTTTTTCCAGAAAGAAAGCGGAAAATAAAATTATAAAGTTTGCAATTAGCTTCTTGGAGATCAAGTGGATGATCAAAAATGAGAAGATGCAAAAAAAAGTCCGAACAATAGCCTTTTTCTCAACTCTTCTTCTTTTTTTCCTTTTCTTTTCTTTTTGTTCCATTCTTTGGAGTTTGGCTCTTTTTCTCGAGGCAACTTTGATTTTTCCGTTTTATTGAATTATTCTCGTTTGGGTCTTTTTCAGTCTCTTTTTGACATTCTTCTATTATTTATAAGTTCTAATCGAGATCCAGAAACTTTTTTGGCAGAAAAAAAGTGGGTTCAATGTTCGAATGTAATTTTCATCCAGCATATTTGTGGAATGAAAAGAAGACGAAAAGAATTTTTAATGAAGAGCATAGATGGGAGAGCTCATTCGGCGGTCTTTTTTTGGGCCATTTCAACTTTTTTTCAGGAAGATTTCTTCGCTGAAATTTTTTTTTTTTGTTCAAAAAAATTCTGAGATTTCAAATAGAAATGAGAAAGTCAATTATTCAGCTGTAAGGGTTTGAATGAAGTATTTTATAAAAATAAACTTCTGAATCATTCTTTGCTCCGATTTCCCTTTTCCTAACTTCCTTGTTTTTTGTGATGCCCTTTTTGGATATTCTCAAAAATGTTTTGCAGTATGAACTTGAAAAGTCTTTCTCGATTATTATCCTTTTTTAGTTGCTAATTCCTAAGGTCAGGTCAAGTTTTTTTTTAATTCTTCATGAACCGTCAAAGTTGGTTTTGTTTGAAAAAACGTTTTTTGAATATGTTTCAAGCCATCATAATATTTTTTTAAATACCGAAAAACACACCTTCCTCATGTTTTCCTCAATAAGAAACACAAATAAAGGAGTAAATGCCTGAAGCAAGTGAACCCATCTCACTGAACAACCAATTAAAGTTCGTCGAATTGAGACAATTTCTCTCGTGCCCCTTTCTGACCGCCGTATCAGCGGCCTATCACTTCGATTCCGCCCAAACACCTACTATCACATTGTTTATTTGTCCGACGTCGAGAATCCATTCAGTTTTTCTCACCCGCTTCTTTTTTCGACGTTTTGACTCGGTTTCAACGATTGGTGCTATAGCTTTTTTGGCTATTCTAGTTGTCCTGAACCTTCGCTTTATATGAAAAACATGCGTATTTTCCCTTCTTTTATTCGAAATCGATGGTGAGAGTTCCTATTCCGATGATCCCTGAAGGGAAAATAGTATTGGAAAACTTGATTTTTCAGGTTATTTTCCTCTAAACGCTGATTCCATTAGATTTTAATGAATCCAATTTTTTTTTATTTTTTCCTTAAATTCACAACTTGAGCGAGTTCTTAACCTTTTCTTTTTAGACTATTTTTCAAAAATTATCTGGAAAAATCCAAAAAGGTTTTTTTCGATTTTCAATAGAAGTTTATTGAGTGACAGTCATAAAAAACGGCAAAAAAATTTGATTTAGATTTTTTTCAAGTTGCAAGTCGAACTCTTCTTAAACAAATTAATTCTCCATTTTTTTGACTATTTTTCCGTTTCTAAGCTGAAGAAAAACCTCTTCTTTGACTAGAGCAAATTTCGAATTCACATTTTTTTCAAAGCCCCCATTTTTTTCTTGAAATTTTTCAGTTTTTCTGGTACTAGCTATTCTTGAACCTTTTTCGAGCCTTTGATCGCGAAAAGCAGGTAAAATCTCGAGGCGAGAACTCGGTGAGCCGAAGAGCCAAGGCACACACTTGAAAGTCTGGAAGCTCTCGAGACTCCCCACTAAAAATACAGAGGTCAAAATGCATAGTGTAGGGCGTTTTCACGTGTTTATTGTGTTTTTTCCATGTTTTTGCCGTTTCGAAACCGTTGATATTGTTGTTTTCATGCGTCGGCCATCATTGACTTTGCAAATAATCGCATTATCTTTTTCTTCATTTCAACCGGCTAGAAACTTTTCGTAGCTGAAGAGAGATTTATTGATTTCTTATTTCGACAAAAGTAGACCGAAAAGAGAAATGCATAAAGCCTTATCAACTTTCTTAGGTTCTATTTTCGTCCACCTCCTTTTCCTTAATAGTTTAGAGCAAGACTTCCCAATAGATCATTTCCAATTGTTTTTTTTTGGTTCTGAATTTTCGAATTGTTTTGCCAACCCGACTGTTTTATGGGTCATAATGTCTCTTCTTTTTCATTATTTGTGCCGGTTTCCATACTTGTTTTGCAAAGGTTTTTTCCAAACTTGGGCAATACAAGAATTTCCAGACTTCTGCAAAACCATTCTGAAAGCTAAAAGTCAGACCTAGGTAGCCGCTTCGCGACCGCGTCACATTGAGCCATTCTATCCATTTTCCTGAATCTTGAAAAAGTGTTAAGAAAATAATTCCATAAAAAGGAAATTCCTAATCATCAAACTATTCCATTTTTCTTCTCGGAAAACTGCAATATTTCAAACTTGATTCGATTCCTTATCAAGCTTCTCTGACCGAGTGAACCAGATCAGCTCAATTACTGATAAGCGATGTTAGTTGTGTTTTCCTCTGTTTATAAGTTTTACGACTTTGTTGAAAGCGATTCCTTTTAACTAATAACGTTCATTATCTGTTTTTCAGATTTGCTGTTCGAAGAATGAATTTGTTTGTGTGCTTCGAAATCACTTCGTTTTTCGCTCTTAATTTGATTTTTCTGAATATTTTCCTTGCAGTTGGAGTCCCACCAGAAAGAAGAGACGAAAATGGGCGGTTGGTGGGATTGGTACGGGCGGAAGATGTGGCCGCCCTACTACAAGTACTCGGTTTTCGTCTTTGTCGGCTTCGAATTCGTCTATTCGGCTTTTATTCTGGCCATTTCTGAGGCTTACTACAAGTCGGCTGCCATGATTCTTCCTATTGCTTACAGGTTGGTGGGAATTCTCTTTGTTTGATGATTTTTGATGATCCAAGGTGTTCGAAAAATAAAGGAATGAAAAAAAAGACAGTGAAAAAAGATAGTACTCATAGTTTATTCACAGTTCAATCATGAATGAACGGAATTTTTGGCTTTGAGACCCCTCAAAACCTAAAAAAAAATACGTTTTTTGAAGTTTTTTGAGTTTTCGCATTTTCTCTGAAACCTCGGAAATTATTTAAAACTCCGTATAGATGGAAAAAAAAATGTTTGTCGGTTTCTAAGAAGTCACTTAAGAGTTCAGGAGTTTTTCATATTGCAGCTATACCTCTGTCAACTCATAGGTGTTAAAAAAAAAAGAAAAAAAGATGATTAAAAAAAATTTTTTTTGATACTGTTCATTGAAAATATAACGAAATCGAAAAGTTTATCAATTTCTTTTGCTTTTTTGTCCCCCTCATTCGGTTCAAATTTACAGCATTTTCTCTTATTATTTTCGATTATCTTGCGCGAAAACCGTTTCAGGTCGGATGCGCTTGAAACCGAGTTTTTCGATAAGCTGAATCCTCAAAAAAAAAATCGCTAGATCTGGTAAATTTTGAACTTTAAATGATTATTTCTTTTAAAGAGAGGTTTTATTTTCTTAACTTTTTCAAACTCAGTTTTTTTCATTTCTAGTATAGAAATATGAAGATCTTTATTACAGAATGTTTGACGATACGGTCCGGAAAAACAAGTCAAACTTTGACTGGACCACCGCCGAGCGGGATATTTTAGAAGGGGTCCGTTTCTTCTTCTTCTCCTCTTTGAATGTTTCATCATTTTCAGTACAAAAACCACATGTTGTTGCTGTGGATCGTATCAACAGTAGGCGTTTTGTTGTGTATGGTCGTGATAATTCCCCAATTTTTCGATTTTAATGATCGAAGAGGGAATCCAAGTCATTTGGTGAGTCTTTTTCTCAATTTTGAGGGAGTATATTAAGTCAAATCGGTCAAAAAGCAATCAGAATCAAAGAAATTTCGAAAAGAAGAGTTGTGGCTCAAGTTTGGAACCTTAGAAGATATCAAAAAAAAAGTACCAATGGTTTTCATAGAAACCTGTTTCGATCATATATTGGCAAGTATAAAACCCAATTAGCCCAGTGGTAAGGTTGACCTACGAAAATTTTAAAAAACAGCAAATAAAGTTGAGTGCTCGGGCAACAATAAAAAGAAGTTTTGACCTGAAAATATAGGGAAATATGAGTTTATTTTGATTTGATATGGTTTTTGAGGAACGGCTGGCCTTTAAAAGGTTCCTACCTTGCCTTTTTATGAGCGAATTTCCAAAAAATGCTTAGTGGCAGCTCGGACGGAAGTTTGCCTTGAAATCTAGGTTACTCGGACCTTGGTAACTCGAACCGGACGTTTCTGAGTCTAGGGACCACTTTTGCGGCGTCAGCACTCTTAAGGGATCCCTAGAATTGCTCACAAACGTTCGGTTCGCGTCACCAAGATCCGTAGCTTCGCTTCCTTCAATTTCCGTTGAAAGTATTTCCGAAAATTGTTCAGTGTCTGGTCCGACGGAAGCTGGCCTGGGTGATGTTCTTCGTGGTGGCCGCCTACGTGGCGGTCCTCGGAATCGCCGTCTTCCTGGCGTGGCTCGACGGCGGCGCCGCGTCCAGACACTTCCACTCGCACTTCGACGCCGCCGAGAAGGAGGAGACCTTCATCGGCGAACTCGAAGCCGCTTTCGGCTGCGAGACTGACGACGACCTGGAGGTGGCCCCCGAGCATGTGAGCATGGAGTGGAGCACTCTTTCTTTTCTCCTTCTTCGGTCCTTCCAGCTGCAAGTTGTGTGGGAGTGACAGATGTTTCATGAATGACTTAATAACTGATTTAGACTATTCTAACTTTGAGTTGGGGGCGTTGAAGTTTTTTTGGACGAAGTATAACAGGAAAAAAAGTTTTTTTAGCCTTGAGAATATGCTCCTTTAAAAAGCCAGCGAATAACTCCAAAAAAGTCAATTTGAGATGCAGATGTTTCAAATATGAGGTATTCAAAAAGTTCCTGCGAAACAAAAAGAAAATTGTAAAGAAGTTTGAAAAAACTTATTTTTCTATCATTTTTCCGAGTTTTTCACTTAATTTTCTTTAAAAGATAGTTTCGAATCAAGTCCATTTTTTTCAATTTAAAAAACTTGAAAAAGGAGCTTCAATTTTTATTTTTTTAAGCCTCAAATTTTTTCAAAGAGCTAGATCAAAAAGTTCAGAGAAGACGTTAGACCTGCTTTTTAAAGGCATAGGGGCAGTAAAAAATGGGGTTCCAGGTGAAAGCAGTATCTTATATAGTTTTTCTTTGCGAATCGAATGGTGTACTCAAAAAAATTACAGATGTGACAACTTTAGAAGAAAAACGCGATTTTACTTTCCCGCCTTTAATTTTGAAAAAAGCTTTGGATCGGTATGCAGACAACTGTTTACAGTAGCCGTGCACGCGATGTTGCGGACGTCTCATTAGACTCGCATTTTGGGAGAAATAACCGGCTATCTGCTTTAAATTAAGGGTTTCTTCTCTGAAAAATCGATTAAGAAAACAGAAAATACACATTGATAATAAAGAAAACACAAACAATCGCTATCCCAACCGAAACCTGTGTGAAATCATAATTTTTCACCAGAAAAGCTTTTTTGCAATCAAAGTTTGCAAATTATACACGAATAGAAAGCTTTTGTGACGAAAAGAACTTTGGTGACAACAGAAAAAATTGAAAAATGAAAGAAACGAAGAAAAAAGCGAAAATCCGGAAGATGGCGAAGCGTGTTGTCCATAGAGCAACTTTACTGCAAAACACCTCAAGCTTTCCTCTCTCCGACTTTGAATTATTTTTTCTCCGAAACTAGGAACTTCTGTACATTTCCAAGTTCACCGTTCGATTCGCAATGAAAAACTCTACAAAATATTGCTTTGAACTGAAACACCGTTTTTTACTGCCCCTATGCCTTTAAGCAAAATCTAGTCAGCCTTCTTATATGGATTTTTGAAGAACTCATGAAACTTTTGACTGGAGGTTGGAAAATTTCAAGGTTTTGTTCATTTGAGAAAAAATTTTGATTTCTTCGAAAAAGTACCGAATAGAAGAACTGTCCTTTTCAAACTTCCACGTTTTTTTTCAAGAATAATTTTGTATCAGAAATCTGTCTTTTTTCAGCTCATCCGATTTTATTTTTGTACTCATAGGTTTTTTGAAAATAGGTACAAAAAATACAATAAGTTCCAAAAAACCCGTCACTCCACTACAACTTCAGCCTCTGACCTCGGCTTTTGTGGTGTGTTGACCCTTTTCCTGGCATGAAATGGTCGATTAAAACCCGTCGGGTTCTTATCACATAATCGGTCAGATTGTTCTCCACACAACGATTTGATTTGTTTTCCGTGAAAAAAGGAATAATCGGCTCAAAAAGTTCTCCTAATCCCCCCTTTTTCCCTACTTTTTGCATGATACGATTTGGTGTTAGTGGTGTGTCGATTGTCGATTTGACGGAAAAAATGAGAATAGGTGTCAAAGTGGGGCACATCCACAGGCCGGTGCGGCTTTTCCCCCAACAATCCGGTTTCTCGCTTCAGATGTGCTACGAAAAGGTCAATCAGTCGTTTATCACAAGTCTGTGGCTTAATCTCCTGATGCTTGTCTACATCGCCGGTCATCTTATCGCCTTCCTCGCCGTGCCTTTCTTCAATCGACGTTTGTTTTCTTTTTCCCAGGAGAAGAATGATTTTTTAAAAATTCAACTATAGCCCATTAAAAAAAGTGGGCTAAAGAGCAAAGCCTGAAGAGACAGCAGAGAAAGAGAGAAATCTCTGCTTCTCTAGAGTCTCTTCTGCACGCTCTCTTACACACCGTTATCTCGAGCTTTTTTACAATGCTATAGTCTGTGTGCCACGATTTGGAATTTCACCGAACGACATTCCACTGTTCCGCTGCATGTGTTCGCGAAGCGTCTTCCGAATCCAGGTCACGCTTTGAATTAATTGCTGTGGTAGCACATGAAAGTAGAGTACCTTAATGAAAGAAAAAAAAAATTGAAAGCGAGACCGAGGTTCGAAAGGCGCGCAGCGGCACATCGGAATGTCGTTCGGTGAAATTTCAAGTCGTGGTACACAGGATGTATCTTGAAACATTTTTCAAGGACTTTTAAATTTAATTGACTACATGAAGCTTGAAAAATTTGGAAAATATTCTTGTGTTGTGCTTTGAAACTAAAATACTGACATTTTTCGAAAAAAAAAAAGACAGAAAAAAAAGCGGGAGAGAGATATAGCGTTGATAAGAGAGACACCAGAGAAAGAGATGAATCTCTGCTTCACTAGAGTCTCTTCCGCACGCGCTCTTACTCACCGTTGTCTTGAGCTCGTTTAATGAAAGAATTTATAAAGGATTTTGGAATTTTATCGACTCGGAAAATTTTTAAAATGTTCGAGGTTTGAACCGTTAAAGAGAAAAAAGCTCGTTTTCATGGAAAAAATCGAAAGAGAAAAATAGCGTTGGTTCGAAGAGACGACAAAGAAAGATGGAAATTTTCGCCAATATAGAATCAAAGAAACTGAATATTGCCTTGAATAAGAAAAAAATCCTAACAATAAACTTTTAAAAAATATTTAAAAATGTGAATATTCAAATTTTCAGAACTAGTAAAAGACGACGATGAGCTGTTAGAAGTAGATGGAAAGCTTCTGGACGCTTAAGTGATCACTTCAAAAACTAATTATCGATTTATTTTTTTAATGTAGAATATCCATTTTCACTTTCCTTCAGGCGAATCCTCAGTTTCTTTTTTTATTATTATTTATTTTTTTACCTAATCAAAATATATTCAATTAACCTTCAGCTATTTCGATTGATATATTTTTTTAGCTTTTTAAAAAAAGGCTGATATTAATGAATGGACTATAAATCTCCCAACCCTTGCCCCCAACGGTTCTTTTTCGAATCTTCATTTTTTCAAAAATTTCTAATTTTCAGTTCATGGCACTGCCTTTTTGGTCAGAATTTCTAATACTTATTGATATTTTTTTCTTGTATTCGTTATTGCAGCCATCGCTTAGTGCATATTCCCATCGAAAATTGCTCATTTTGTTAGTTTATTATTTCATATTATTTCCAAATACGGAGTCCTTCAGTAACTTTCCTTTTTTTGACATTGTTGTACATTTTCTTGACGGCAAAAACCTCTTCGAAACGGATAAGGAATAAAGTTTTTATGATGACAATGAAGATGAGAAAATGCGGACGATGAAGAGAATTCCGATTGGAAGAACGAAGACATCACAATTATACAAGGCAAGAATAAGAGTTGATTGAGAAACCATGAGTAGGAAATTTGAATTAATACAGAAATTTTCAAACTTCCTTTCTTAAACATCAATCGATGATAAAAAAAAATTCGGTATGGAAAATATCCGAATTTATTCCCAATCGAAAGCCATACGTGACAGCGGCGGAAAGATTTTTTGAATCTCTCTTGGAAGAAATTTAGTGGTCGCATTTGGAATGACTCGAAGCGTTACGGTCGTTCCAAGTGCATTTCCAAGTGCGACCATGTCGGCTTATTCGGCGAACCATTTTTCTTTTTGTGCATATGACTTTTGGGCCAAGAGATCCGCGATCGATTGTGCTTAGATAAACTAACGGAATTTCTAACAAGTGAAACATTGGATTTATCGCTAGCTGAAGCTAGAAATAAATCCTTTGTGACCAGCAAGTGGTGGAGGAGTTATTATACACTGTTATTTCAAAAAAGGTAAATGGATTTGGAAAATCGTGAGAAAGACCATGTGAAAGTGAGTTTTTGGGCAAGTGGACATTATGTACAACTATTCAACGGCGAGCGCGCCAGACGACGTCGGCTTGGTTTCCGCTAGAAATCCTGTCCGGTAGGCAAACTCCGGGAAACATCGGCCCATCACGGCGTCCCATTCTATTCGTTTCTCTTCGGAACTGAAAAAGAAGAACATCAGACTTGAAATGATGCGATAATAAGTTAAAGCGGCAGAGAAGCTAGAGAGAAGCTCCAAGAAAAGAATTCTACGAAAACTCAGAGAGAAAAAGGTTTATTCACGTCAGGTTGTGCAAGAAGTTTTCCCTCCCTTTTTTGACTTTATACAAAGTAATCCTTACCTAAAACTTCCCAGCTTTTAAGATATTTTTGTTCATTTTCAAAATTTGGAGGGGGGGCGGGAACTAACTTGAGGCCGAACTCTAATTTATAATCACTTTGGAGTTGTAAAGGCTTTTTTCTTTCGATTTTTTCATTTTGAGTATATTCGTAGGAATACCTGAGTGATCCCAATAGGAGTTAGGAGTAAAAAACCCTTGAAGTGGGCGAAAAAGCGGTCCCTACATGGGTAAAACTAAGGTGGGCTCTTTAGGGGTTTAGGGTCTGACCCCTTAGCCCTAAAGCTCAAGTGGACCCTAGAGGGGTCTTACAATTTCATTCAAAAAAATGCTTATTTATTCAGTTTTTCCCATGGATATGCCTTTTTATTTTAGAGTTCATAGCAATCATACACTAGCATTTCCTCAATACGGGCCACTTTTGCAAGCTTTAGTTGCCCCCATAGGGATTGGTAAAGTGGTCCCTAGAGGGGGGGACTAAGGTTGCCCCTACAGGGACCACTCTGAAGTTCCGTTTTTTCATCATTTTGACTTCGCTCAAGTACATTAATCGAAATTATCACAAGATATACGCCGATAAGCTCTTTCAATTTTCTCGAAACCGACCTAATATCGACGGGCTCCATGTCGTGGCCATGCGACAGTATGCAGTGTTTCCTCATGCCGGGTTTCCTGAAACGACTCTTTTTCGCTGCAAAGACGAGGTCGAGTACCTGTAGTCCTGGAAGTCGCACTTCTGGCACTTGTAGGGCCGCAACGCCGAGTGCATCGCCATCACGTGCATCTGCAGGTTCCAGCGGCCTCCGCGCGGCGCCTTCACTCGCGTCCCGCACAACTTCAAATCCATTCCCTTTCAAGTGGATCAAACACGCCACTAATCTTTCTCATTGCTTTTTCGACTTGCCGAAACGTCTATTTTTCGACATTGAAATCGTCAAAGTCTACACAAATGGAGACCATATGACGCGTTCAGAGAAGCTAAGATACTGTGGAGTTCGCCATGAGACCCGAAACTCTAACTTGAATCTACACCAAAAAGAAAGGTTCATTTGGCGAGCTCTATAGTGAAATAGGTTTTGAAAATTCAGACTCGATGGAAAGAAAAATTTGGAAAAGAAAGTTTTCGAAATTTAATTGAGTTTCTCTTTTTTATATAGTACAAAATTTTTTTTTCTCTAAAATTCTTGATCCATTGATCAACACCTCCTCAGATTTTACACAAATGGTAAATTGTACCGTAAAACCAATCGACTTTTTCCATCTTAAGGAATATGAAAATGGGCGTGGCTAGCCAATAAGAGGCGTGTAGAAATCGAAAAGCCGACAATAAATGGACAGAACTTGACATACCTCGAAAGTTTGAAAAAGTGGATTTCAAAAAGTTATTTTTCTTATCAGTGAGTTGGAAGAAAAAGAAAACCAAAAATTCAAAGTAATTATAGTCAGTTCGGTTTGACTTCAAAAAAACTTTGGTCGCATAGATAATGGCTCATTGAGCGCTGTGAAATGGTCAGTTTGAGGTTGTAACCGACTAAAACCGACTTGAGCCAGAACAACCTTTTTGAAAGAAATTTTAGGAATTTATATAAAGCCTCAGCGCGACCGCAACGCGTTTAGCCATTCTAAATGCGACCAGAGCTTTTATAGTTTTGGCGAATAGATTATAACAAAAAAAGCCTTATAAACTTTTCTAGGAATTATATGTCAGGTTGGGCAAAAGACAGGGAAATTTTTGAAAATAACGGACCATCTTTGATTAAAATTAATGCAAAATATTTTTGAATTAAGTTTTTTCTTATTATCAAAATTAACCAACCTGACACTGGTGATAATCCTTATCAGGATCATTTTCGGTTCGGGCTCTTTTCGCGGCAGGACCCGAACTGCACGACGCGTCAGGAACGAGGCAGCGCGCTTGCGCCAAAAAGTCCAATTGACCTACAAATGGCTGTTTACGGTACACATTGGTACTGAACACAAACTTTGGTTAGAACTGAAGTCAAACGAGCCGAAAGTCGTGTCTTCGTTGTCGGCAAAGGTGTCATTCAGGCTGTCCTGAAACAAAAAATCCTGAAGCTGATTGGCTTCACTGATATTTGAACGGTAGACATACCTGAGCTTCTTCTTTTATACTTCCAACGCTGATAATTTCTGGAGCGGCGGAGGTGAGGAGGTCTAATAAATCTGAGGCTTCGGCGACACTATTCGCTTCTCTGGCGGCCGCTTCTTCTTTGAAAAGCGCGTCGGCGAGCTGCATGATCTTCAGTCCTTTTTGCCGGTCTCTGAAATATTTCCTATAACTGAGCTGTTCAAATGTAAGAAAAACCTTGAAGATTCACTGCAGGTCGCAGAATCTGAAGGCGTCGACGGTGATGAGCTCCCATTCCGCCTTTTTTGCCGCATGGAAAGCGCGGGATGTTTCCCGAGGTCGTCGAGTAGCATTAATCGGCCAAACCCTCGGTCTAACTGTAAATTTTCAATTTGAACTGAAGAAAATTGTTTTAATGAGTCTCGCATATGAAAAAAAAAAACGAACCATTATTTGGACTAAATCGACTGCGGCCGCATTGTCGTCGATCTCGACGACAAGGAACTTTGCAGTCATTCCTGGAAAAAACATCGTTCAAAGAAAATCATCAAATCTGACGAAGCGGCGAAAAAATTGAATAAAAAACGGATATCAGTTACTAAAACCGAAATATTTCGTATTAAAAGGGAAACAAACAGAAACTCAATCAGTAGTCAAAGTAGTGAATAAAATTAATGATAAAACAAAAATTCTTTATTTCAAAAAAAAAAATTGATTACAGAAGCCATGATTAGCAGTTGCGCAACCTTTAACTGTAAAAAATTTTTTACAATTTTTTTTCAGTCAATTTTTTAAATTTTTTCACTGCTTTTTCTTGACTAATCTCTCTTATTAGTTAGTTGGTTATAACTGAACAACACTTGAATTTTTTAATCGCTTTCTCTAATGGTTTTTTATTCCGCAAAATGTCCATTTTAAGAAATCGTTGCTCGTCAATTGCGAGGAGGAGCTTTTGCCATTGATGCAAGTTTGAAAAACAGATTTCTTCAACGACAATTTAATGGAATCCAGTTGTGAGTGAAAACTTTGAAGAATTGGTTTAGGTTTCATGAAGCATCCATCAAAGGCTTATAAGTCCTAGGATAAGGATTAACTAGGCTGGAAACATACTTTTGCACTAATACTTTTAATGAATTTTGAGATTCTTTGAAATTCATACAATCTATGCACTAAATCGTGTTGAGTAACAATTCCTTTCAGCTCTGTTCAGTTTTCGGAGACAATTTGTCGATCAGAATTACAAAAAATGGTCTTTTTCTCATTTATTTAACATACGCCCCATTATAATACATCATATAAGTGGTGGTGAGTATAGTATTATGTTAACCTCAACTTTTCAGTCAATTAATTATGCTTTTTCTTTGCGTACTGACCCTAAGAAGTTTGAAGCTAAGAAAACACTGTACAGATTAGGGAAGCTTGGTCGAAACATACAGTGACGACGTAATATTTTTTGCAGAGTCCTGACGCGACATTTCGAGGGAGAAGTACGGGAAAGTGGAACTGCGTCATCGGAGACAATACCGTTCAGACGGCCGCCGTTTTTCGGCCAAAGCGAGAAACGGCGCCAGACTACAATCCGACTTAAGGCTTGGGACGATTAGGAAGATTTCCATTATAATTTGGAAAATGGCTGAGATTATTTTCTGTTGAGCGTAACAGCTCAAAAAATAAGCTCAACAGTAAAATTAGGAATCTTCTTATCTTCAGAGTTCTTTACGATTGAAAAACTACAACTAAAAAACTAAGAGGCTTAAAAACATGATAATATCTTATGAGAAAGATTAAACCAATAATTCCTCTCAACATAAAAGCAATATTAAAAAAAAACAAAAAAGAATCAAGACTACCAATTAGAAAAACGCGTTTCATTGGAATCTTGCCAAATTGCTTCGGAACTTTCAAAACGAGGCAAATTACAAACGTCTCTGGTTGGCGTAAAAGGAAGGAATAATAATAGGACTTTTAATGGAATATGAGAGGGTTTAGAAAAAAGTTGCAAGAGTTCAAAGTTTTTCAAAATGTCGCTCTCTAAAATTTTGGGCTTCTATTCGAAGTTGTCAAGGATTTTCAAGCTTGTAATTTATTTTTTTCAGGTTTCAACATTAAAGTTATTGGTAGAGCCCAATTTTATGGATATTGCAAGTTTCGAAAGAAGTTGTAAGCTAAGAAATTTTGATTCAAGGAGTAGCTGGAAACCTTAGTCAAACCTCTTTATGCATTGTAGGTTGACTCTAGACGGAATTACGATGAAAAATATTCTTTTCAAAAAGTTGCACCCCTATCAATCAAAAACATAATACTTATTTTAAATCTTTCTCGAAACGAAAGGCACTTTTCAGTCCTTTTTTGCTCATTCAAGATTTCTTTTGGAAAAAGAATTTTTAAAAAAAGTTCGGTTGAGCTTCATCAGAAAGTACTAACTTAAGCATGGTGGTACCTTTAAAAGTTTTTGGTTTCGAAGAGCTTTAATCTTTTTATTTAAAAAGCTTTTAGTTTTATCAAAAGATGGACATTCATCAAAATTAGTGATAGTGATGACTGTGATGGATTCGGTGAAGCATTGAGACAGTCTCGTCAGAAAAAGTTCGATTTCGCCTCTGGTCCAAAATAATCCTCAAGACAGCTAGTGAAGTTGTTTTTGACATTGGAAAATGATGAAGATGGACCAGTCGAACGCATATTGGGACTATATGCGGCGTTCGTGCGGAGAAAAGGATCCGGAGGCGTCCGCAGGTGTGCTGAATGCGAAATGTGGGGCAGCAGCAGCAGCAGGGCGACGGCGCAACGAAAGAGAAACCGCGGATAAGTGGGCCGGCTGTGAAGAACGCGTCGGTGCGGCCGCCGACGGCTTCTCCTCGTCCTACGACCATCGGCAACTTTCCTTCGTATAGGACCCCTGGGAGATTCTGGTCTTCTAGTCTTGATTAGGGAATCTTGGGCTGGACTGGCAGCAGATCTATGGAGAAGGAGCATCAGCAACTTTTGACCCTTTCTTCTTGTAGGGCCTATGGGTGATTCTAGTCAAAGTGCTTTGTAAAAAAGGGATTTCCTTGATTCTTGTACTGGGTTGACAGCAGATCCATGAAGAAGGAGCATTGGCAAAATTCATGGACCAACCTGTTCAACATCATCCTCAAGTTGGGCGTTTTCTACCCCGAGACTCCCCCAAAAAATAAAATCTTGCAAGGTCGAGTTAATGGAATTCGAAGAAACTTTGTACAGAAGTATTTCGGGACCTCTCAAATCAAAATAATTTGAAATGAGGGCCCATTTTACACTGTAGTGAAATCCTAGAATTATTAAACGTTACAGAAAAAAAACTACCATTTTATTACAAAATTTAAACACGAGTCATTTTCAGAAACTTCAAAACCAATATTCGAAAAAGAACAAACCATAAATTTTGCCAAAAAAAAGAACCATGAACTCCAAAATTTGAAAAAGTGAGGAGCTTTGGAAAGATTAACAGATAACAATTTTACTTTTAAAATGAGGTTGAAATATTTTTTGTAGGATTTCCTACCCTTTTTTTCCATGAGCACATTGAAGGAAGGAAAAGCTTAAAGCACATCAACCAAGTGAACACTTAAGAGTACATTTGTAAGATTTGCTAAAGCACAAAATATTCAACTTAGCTCTGAAGATGGGAACGCAGATTTTTCTCTATGACAGCTTCTTTAAGTTTGACTAATTTTAATGTAAATTGGACCTTGTTTTTTCGCTCTCTCTAGCAGAATTCTTAGATGCTGATCAAACTGGTGACTTCAAAATAGCAATAATAGAGAGAAAGGACAGCAGCACTAACAATAAGAAACAAAAAAGTGAATCAATTTGGCAAAACGTGTGACAAAAGGCCGTTCGCTCACGAACAAATACAGACGGCGCGAGAGTAGGCAAAAAACGAAATTCGGCGGATGGCAAGTACTGCGAGAGGAAACGCGAGAGAGTACTGTGAAGGGCGGAGGGCGCCAGACGGTACTTGTCATGCGTCTCCTTCTTATCAGTGATCGGACATCTGTCAACACGGCTCCGCGTTTCAGAAAGAACAATTGGAGACAAAAAAGAAAATGGAGATAAGAAGAATCCGATGGATTACTAAAAAAAAAGTAGACCAATGAGCTGAATGTAATGAAGAGGAGAACGATAATCGCAGTAGAATATTTCTTATCAGTCGTTCTTGAAACGTACTATGGCGAAGTTTAACAGTGACTTCTCAATGATGTGTGAAGTTTTTCTTAGACAACAGTGGTTTTGGAAAATACCAAAGAATAAATTTGCACTTGAAGTTTTTGGTTAATTTTCCCTTTATTGGACAAAAATATTACTTTTGATCTTTTTCGATTGGAAGTTCTTGGTTGTGAATCGCTTTGAGATGGTTTTTTTTATTAAAAAATTTTTTTCAAACTTGCTTTGATTTGGAAATTTTTTATAAAGTCTCGATACTGACAATCAAAAGAGAGGCCAGAAGATTACTGATAGAAGAATCAAAAAATCCTCAATAGATAAATTCCTGATAATGAGAAAATCTAGTTTCAACACACTTGAACGATAGGATCGATCGAAGTAAATCTGGAAGCTTTTGAAAGCAGTTTTCTTGCAAACGTAGATGAACGACGTGAATAATCCCAAAATTTTTCGAGTTGCTTAACGAGGGTTTCGCTACAATATATAATGATATTGGGGTATCACAAGGCCAAATCATTAGGCGGCTTTATGAATAGAGAATAGTAGCGGGATGAATGGAAATGAATGAGCTTGGATAAAGGCGCAGAAGTAATGAGGCGACGGAAAAGGTAGATATTGGGGCTTATCAGTGAAACCAAGTTTCGGTTAATTGGAATATTAGTTTAAAAAAAGTCCCAAAATTTTTTCTTCTCATATATTCGAAAAGCTAAGCCAGATGTGAAGAAAGAAAATCTGGTAGGACTTGAAAAGGCTTTGAACTGATTAGGTAGGACTAGATTTCTTTTTTATTTTGTGTTTGAAAAGCATTTTTGGATAGATTTTTAATTAGTCAGAAAAAATTTTCCTTGAAGGAAGTACTACTCAGTCTTAAAATATATTGAAAATAGGCTATGAGTAGCTTATAGGCGACCTTTTGAGGATGTTTCTCGAGGTCTGAACCGTCTGGAGAACTTCCAACTTCGGAAAACTAGAGAAGAAATCAGAGAGAATATGGAATAATCAAACAGTCAGAACACCAACCAACACTTGGAGGGTGAACAAGTAAGACTGAGGGAGAAGGATCGATGGGAGGTGGGAGTAGGTTTGTGAGTGAAGGAAGGGCACGACTGGCCTGGCGCCTGCTGCCGGAGTCCTGCGGAGAAAGACGACGCCGAGAGAGCGGGCGGACCAAGGAGGGCGGCAGACAGACGCCCGCCGAGGGACTGCCTACTTTGGCGGAGAGTACTCGACGGCCTGACGGCTGCGGTACTTGTGGACAAGGCCACGCGACACACGTACACTGCCAACCGAATAACATCCTGGCTTGACGGCTTTTTGACGCGTTTGTTGGAAGTTTAGTCAAATTCTGGCCGTCGGATTGGGTAGTACGAATAATATGTGGGGAATCGGACAACTGTCATTTTAGATGGCAAGGAAAATGAACATCATTGAAGGGTGATGAAGGTTCTACAAATTCGTTTAGATAAACTAATAAGGCCTGGATGAGATCTTTCATAATCGTTTCTGTTTTAGAAAAATGAGTTTTGAAAATTCCTGGCTGGAGGCCTACTGTCCAGGTCAAGTGCTAGATACGGACTTAGAAAATAATTAAAAACCAAAGTTTGCGGTAGCTATGAAAAATATTAATCTCGATTTTGAAAAAAGTAATTTGGAAATTTTACTTCATGAGCAAAACCTTATAAGGTAAGTAGCGATTTATTCTGAAAAGATAAAAAGGTTTACTTCAGAAAAGCAGATTTTTCTATTTTCAACTGAAACTATTCCTTTCATTTTGCTTGCTCCTACTTTCAAGGCACGTCATGAGAACTTGGGTCAAACAAAACGAACGAAAAAAAAACTCCTCGAACCAAACCACGATCACATAATTCAAGACGACAGACAACGGCGTCTCACACCTTGTTTTTGTGGTTCTGGGGCGCACTTGAGCGTCTTCCTGAAGGCGAGTAAACAGTATGGACGAAAAAAGGCGTCGGCCGCTGCTACAGGTACAACAGAAACAGACTAGTTCCCCTCTCCTGTGCTATTACGCCAACCGCTCATTTTCGCCGCACCGACCAAGAACGCGCTCCGTGGGACACAACTCGTTGCGTCGACAACGTGGTTATGCTTCCAAATAACCATTTTATTGCGATGAACAGGGAGAAGGGCATGGAAGAAGCTCGAACTAACGAGAGAAGGGTTTGGGGCGAACACTGCTTTTCTAGTCCTGGTAGTCTAGGTATGAGTATTGGAAAGAGACAAAAAATGACTACTAACAAGGGAAGTCGTTTTACTTTGCGGTTAGGGATTTCCTGAGAATTGGCCGGAACTCTTCTTGATGCACCAAAAGAAGATTCTGAAAGTTTCACCCTGCACAACTCACTAGTTTTCGAGAAATCATGGATCAGAGCCCAAAAATGGCATGTTTTACCGGGTTTCGAGAGTTTTCTTCGACTTTGAGGTGTGCTTTTTTGGAATCTAAAGAGTTCGCAGTTTAGGACTTTCAGAAAGATTGTCAGGTGCATTAAGAAGTTATCTGGCGCATTTTCAGGAATTTCTGAGTCGCAGAGTAAAATGACCTTCCTTGGAAGCTCCACAAGGGTTTATATTTTTTTATAGTTATATTATATCCTCCACAGAAGTTTGGATCCGGTCTGTGATGTTCACCTCACATTCTTCTCACGTAAGGAACTCATGGGAATATCAGAAAGCAACGCTATGGACAAAAATGGCAAAAACCTGTGCAGAAAATTAGAATTCAGAAGGATAAGATTCAATAAGGCATTCCTAAAATAAAATACGGGCCTAAGTTTTCTCGATCGCTGATTATTCATCAAGGTGACCACTTCAAAAGCTAGAAGAAAAAACTAAAAAACTGACAAAAATATTGAAATCACTTCAAACTTGGCAGTTTTACCTATTATAGATAGTTTATTCACTGCCCCCTTCAAGTACCACCTCTACGCGGTGATGGGGAGGCAACGCCATTTATGGCGGCTAACGGTACACCGGTCACGCAGTTCGGCTTGCTTCTGCTAACAGAATGGGCGGTCTTTTTTAGCCCTGGCAAGGCAAAAAGGATAATAAGACCAAAATTATGCTATAACACGTTCAACACCACGGATGGAACTTTTTCGCAAGAATGCCAGTCAACCAGGACGACAACACTGGATGACCGATTGCATAAGATCTCCTGGAAAACGTGTGGTCCACGCTTCGATCAATAAAAGGCACTAAAAGGCAATAAAAGGTCGAAAGCGAAGATGGACCATCTAAGTATCTAAGTAAGTAAGTAAGTATTCACTGCCATTATTTAACATAAAAATAATTGAAGAATAGATGATCAAGGGAAGGAATAGGCAGAGAAATAACAATACACGGGAAAGAGTCAACCCCAACGAGTTGACGGGTACCCGAAAATATGGCAAATCCACAGGAGACGAGAGGGGATATAACCTATCTTCACCTTAAAAAACTACTGTAGATTGAAGTCAGGTGAAAATAGCCGGAACCGGTGGAGCTATTGCGCTCCGTTGATAAAGTAGTAAAAAAGTCGACAATAAAAAAGAACAAACTGTAGGCATACATTTTTTCAATCACTGGTTCTTCGTCACGGTTATCACTTGTTAACAGTGAGAAGCTCGAACTAAGGAACTGGAAACAGCAACCAATAACGAATCACTGAGTGCCTGGTAGTGAAGCCGCAGAAAATAATTGTGAAAAAAACCGTACCCGGCGGAGCTCATGTGCTTTGTTAATAATTTCGTAGGAAAATGCTCAAAAACGGTTAAGCTTTGAGAAACTTGAAGCTCTGCAAACTCGAAATTGAAAGTTTTCACAGCTACATACTGCAAAAGGTCTTTACCCAGTCCTTCAGAGAGTTTTGAAAAAACTGGATTAGGTTTCGAATTACAAGAGCTTTTTTGTCAGTATTTAAAGAAAATTTGCAACTTTCTGAGTTCGTTTCAAGACACGACCAAAAATAAAAGTTCTAACTAAAAAGGGCCACAGCACAATAGAGCTTTTGCGCTCTATAGATAATTTTTGATTTGAAAGAATGAAAAAAATGAATTACTTGAACCGTTGTCATTTCAGGAAATTGGAAGAAAAAATTTGATTCTCGTTCAAAAAAAAATGTTGAGAAGGTATAGCTGCATCCAGCGGAGATGTTGCGCTCTACGGTTAATTCAAAAATTTATTTGAGAAAGAGATCCATAAAGTTCCACCGAACCGGCAAACTTTTTAATAATCAATAATTATCAGCGATGAAAACTCAGATCTTGAAGAACCAGTCAGATTTCTGGGTTGCTCCGCGGAAACAGATGTATAGGTTGAGAATCTGAAATAAAAACTTTGATATGAAAAACAATATTTTTGTGATTTATAATACAAAAAAAAAAGTTGAAAATTTTTTCAAAAACTCATCAGATTATTTTACTGTAAATTTTGAGGCACCATAACTCGACTAGAATCAAAAAGGAGCACTTTTCTCAATTTTCATGAATTCAGGGGGTCCGAAAGTACCTGTATACAAAGTTTCATCAAACTCCAATACCTCGACCTTTCGCACTTCCCGTGAAAGCTTATTATGAATCGGTTTTAAAGCTATCTCACGCCTCTTATTCCATTATCTGTAGTTTTACTCCCATTAGAAGGTTGTCCCTATAGAGGTTCAGGGTTTGATACGAATCCCTATAGGGTCTTTCAGTTTTTTGTCAAATTCGAAAGTTAAAAAGACAAACATGAGCCTCTTTCGGGGCCACTAACTCAACCCCTATAGCGGTTGCTTTTGCAAGCTTCAGTGGTCTCCATAGCCTATATGACTATAAGAGAGGTAAAGTGCTTCCTAGATAGGAGCCTTCATGGTCTCTAAGGTTGCCCTTGTAAGGATTGTAGGGTCCCAAGTCATTCGAGATGTTTCCTGTCAAGGTTTAAGGAAAGACTCTCACAGTCTAGACACCTTTTATCTATTAATTCTATCAATTTGAAACGGTTAACTTCTCTTGGGTTCGAAATTCTCGTACTCAAACATTTTGAACTTCTTTCACTTTATTTTACGGATTCAGAAGCTCGGTTTAAAAATTTCTCATGTCTTAACACATAATAAAACAGCAGTAACAGAGGGAGCAAGTTCGTTTATATTCTGAAAAAAACAGCAGCTATAAAGATTTAAATAATTAGAATCTAAATATCTTCCTTTTTCTGATGGCAAGAAAAAATAGCTTAAAAAGAAGACTTTTGCGTTTTTTTTTCCGATGATAACGGCTTTTGACGATTTTTTTTCGACTTCAGTGCCCTTCAACCTCGAAATCTGAGAAACTTCGCTGGTTGGGACTTCCTGGGTCTTCCATTGTTGCGTCAAGGAGTAATCTGTCTAAGTTTTCGAAACGTTCGCTTTTTCTTGATAATTTTATATCATTGCAAGGATATTTATACAGAAAGCAATCAATTTAAATTATTTAGTCATTCATCACATGAGCTCTTTTTGAGGAAAAAAAATCTTTAGGTTAAATAAATTGCATTGATCAGAGTTTAGTTCTCATTTAAAAGAGAAGTCAGCAGCATTTAGTTTATAATTATTGGACTTGGGAAAAAGCAGATTTCGGTTTCCTTTTGTACCTGGGCTTTTTTGGAAACAAGGCAATGTCACAAGTTAGTTCTCAGGATCTGGGTAAATTAAATATTACGACCGATATTCCAAAAACTCCCACAAAAAAGATTTTATTTCCAATTTTGTTTCGAATAGGAGTTTCACGAAGCGAGTTTCAATTGGAAACAGATATAAGCCTATTTTGAAGCAAATTTCTGAGACCAGATCAATTTTGATGAAAATTACCTTTTGCAAAGTAAAAATAGCCTCCTTTAAAAGTCAATTTCGAAGCAAAACTGTAAAATAGGGCTCAGGCCCGAAACCCCTATCAGCAGTGCTTTCACGGTTTTAGAAACTCAATCTACAATTTTTGAGGAATTTGGTGCAGCCGTTTTCCAGCTGTGGTTTGTGAGGCGGCTCAACCGCGGCAGCCTGGTTTGGGCCGTCGGAAGCCGCCGGCACTAGGTCTAAAGGTCTGCGGCAGAACGAGGCGATCATCTAGACGAAAACAGAGAGCACTACCGACCGCCGTCGTCTCGTCTCTCTCTATATACCCCCTCAGACGCCTGCGTCAGACTCGCCGCGACTTTCGTCTCTCCCTATCCTTCAGCGTTGCGTGGTGCAGAGTTACGTCAGTATTTTTCGCGTCGTTCTTTGCGTTTTGACTCGTTTTTGATAGGCCGTGCTCGAAGTAATTTCCGCGAAATTCAGATTTATCTCTTACTCTCCAAACTTTAATTGTCTTTTTCACTCTCTGACGGTCATTTTGAATTTCGTGGATTCACTTTGAACACGGCATAAAGTTTTGAAAGAGATTTTTGAGAAAATAAAACTTTCATTTAGAATGTTCTAGGAAAGTTCAACTTAACCAGGTAATTTTACTTTCGGAATTTTTTTTACTTGTTTTTTCATAGCATAACTTCTTTAACTCTCTAGTTTTTTAATCCTTGTTTCTGAACGTAAGAGCGAGATTTTCAGAACTAGGAAATTTGGGAAAAGTACGTTTTTTTCTCTGAAAATTTATAATCATCCGAGTTTTTTTTCCGGTTTTCGAAAAAGGAAAATATTTGAATATTTATCTCTTTAGTTGGATAAGAGTTGAAGAAACTATCCTACTTAACAAGATCATGTTTACACTTCGAAGATATCATTTTTTACAGCTTCCGATGCCTCATAAATTTTAAAAACAGACATGTTGCGCATTATTCCATTTCGACGCCGTTCGACAAGTTTTCAAGATCTGAGCTTCATGAAAAGTTCATGATGAGAAAAAAAATCGGATTTCAACGGTTGAATACCATTTTTCAAGGTAATTCTAGACACCACGAGCCATTTTTCGTTAATCATGTATTTTTAACTAATTCTAAATCATCTCACTTTTAGAAGTATTATCGAAGTAGTAAGATTTGAAAATGGTTTCGAGAAATCTCAAGCTAATTTATCCACGAAGACTCGCTCAAGCCTTTCCGAGCAGAGTATACTGTAAAATTTAATTTTTTTGATCTTTACTTTACTGCTTTGGTTTATTTTAACAGAGTCATACTTTTTTTTCAAAAAGACCTTTTTTTTACTCAGACTGAATCCGTTCTTTCAGCATTTTTTCAAAACTTTTCAGCCACCTTCTCTCGCCTTTTTCTAGAAAATAGAGTGTTGCAGACCAAAATATTGGCCAAAACTCTTTGAAAGAAAGGCAATCCCTCTGCACGAGACTTTTCCGAGATGAGTTCCCCCGGCCCCAATGATAAGACATCAACAAACGTGGTGATAACGACGAAATCGGACGTTCTTTCTGCAAAAAAATCTTTGAAAGCGATTGGCCGTGTCGTCGAAACCCTTGTTTGTGTGTCCTGGGCCATACTGCAATCGGCCGAAAAGACTGGAAGTCGAAAATCATCAGCCACACACAGACACGCTCATTTCGTCGTCTGATGTAAAAGAACTTCAAGTATCTGTACAGTCGAATCGAATCGAATCGAGCTTTTTTTTCAAAGACTCCAAGTTATTTGGACATCTGAAGGCTTGGTTGATGTTTCAGTGAATAAAAATACTTATCCAAATCTCAAAGTCTTTTTTGAAATTTTGTTCAATGGAATCGATGAAATCTTTCAAGTCCTATCGGAAAAAAAAAACGTTAGCAGTCGAGCTTTATTATATCGATTTAGGTTTTGAGAAGATTCAGTAATCAATTTTTGTGTGTTCTGCGGAAAAAAATTCTATTAAATTTTTTTCAAAGCCAGTCCAAACGAGCCGATCGAACACTTGCATTAATGAAGGGAGTTCAGTTTTGATTTTTTTTTTTTGTTCAATAAATTGAGAAAAATCTAAAACTCGGACCTCGGCAACGAAAACCGTACGTGCTCCGGACGTTTCTGGGCGATTCTAGGGACCACTTTAGAGTTCTGAGGCTACTAAAGGGGTCCCTAGAAATGCCCCGACACGTCCGATTCGCGTTGCCAATGTCCGAGAAGATTATTCTTGACGGCTCCAAGTCTCAGTGGAGCAAAGTTGCTTGGATTTGATGGGATTTTCTCACTGATTTTAACTTTAAGATACTTCCTTAACAACCTTATTGATGTTTCCAGTTCTTTGAACCATGTATCCGAAACGACTTCGAGGTGTCCTTTCCAAAAAATAGAAAGCCTTCTAGGTTGGAGACTTCCAGGATCTTCATCGGGTACATCATAGTCTATGATGATTCATTCTTGGAAACGACTAACCAAAAAAAACATTAGGTTTTTCGTAAGAAACGTTCCAAGTTCTAATTCCTCCTTCAAGTTGAAAAAGACAAATTTTTCGGTCATTAATCAACCGGGAAACTTTTTTTAGGCTTCCGGTTAAAAAGGTCTTGAGGTGATATACCTGAGATGAGATGATATGAGATTATATCAGATGGTATAAATCTTGTTTTTTTGTTTCCGTAGAGAACAGGTTCAAAATAAAGTTTCGTTCGATCCAACTTCTTCCCAATCATATTTTTGTTACTTCTCGTATCCCTCGAAGTAGCTGCAAAAGTATCTTCGCCAGAAATTTTTCCCAAGAATTTTTCTAAACAGTTGCTTCGGAGTTGCAGAAGCTGACCTCCCTGGACAACTGTTCCACCTTTCACTTGACCACATCAACGAAGAAAAATGTGGAAAGACGAAGATTTTCTTAAACTAGAAACTTTTCGTTGCAGCAAACATCAAGATTTCCACGGTATCGCTGTCAGACTGAAACAATCTTCGGCGACAATCTTTGATTGGTGCCATAATATTTACAGGAAATAGAATCTCGCAGTTTCTCTCAAAGATTTGTCATGGAGATTGGCCTGTAAACAGTAGACACAGCCCCCTTCATTTTGATAAGAGTTTTTATCGTCGAACAGTCATCAGTCTTTGCAATTATTACCTTTTTTGCATGGGAATTAAATATATTGAGCAAAAAGAAGATTGTGAGGGAATGGTCGCAAATGGAATGACTCAAGATGTGTCCGACTCAAAACGACTTGCGCTTGTTGCAATTGTTGGAAAACTTTAGGGTGAACTGACAAGTTTTTAGGGGCTATTTTTTTGCCGCAACGCTCCGAGCCATTCCAAGTGCGACCAGAGGCCTCAACTAAAGGTTAATGGGAACGAAAATTGAATTTTCGAGTTATAAAATCGGTAATTGAAGCACTAAGAAACTACAACTTTTTTTGGATTGGAAAAATTACTCAAAATGATCTCATTTTTTAATTTTTGTCACTAGAGAAGATCCTTGAGCACCTTGGTTGCTTTGAAACTATGAAAACTACAAGATTCAAAGGTTTTTTTGTATATTTTTTGGAGAGACCTTTCCAATTTCGGTATGAGCTGTTCAGAGAAATTTCCGAGTTCCTTTTTCATCAAAACTTGATCCGGAATGACCAGCAAAAAAGTGAGTTCCATATCACTTCTTGCAAATTTCCAAGTTCCTTGTCCATTTTTCTAGATTATTCCAAGCCAACAAACTTTTCGTCGCCATCGATATCAAGTCAAGAAGAGCGTCGTCGAAATAGTCCATTTTTCGATAACGTCCTTGAAAAATCTCCCCCACATCCTTATCATTCTCATTTTCAGGTGCCCTCGACTGTAAAATCCATAGAAAAAGAAGAAAGAACAAAGTAAAAGTGAGAACGAGGCGGTTTTTGTTGTACACGCGGTGCCAGGCGGCGGTCTTCGAAAAACAAAATCTTATCTGTCTCTCTTTTGCTACCGAGCTTTTCATTGGTTGGAGCAACTGAAAAACATGAACCGAAAATCAATCACGAGTAGTGTCAAAGATCTCTCTCGAGCTGGAAAATTTAGCCTGAAACTTTCCGAGTCAAGTTTCAACTTTACAAAAAGCCCTGATTTTTGGATTTTTCCCTCTTCTTTTGTCTTTATTTGAACCGAGCGCTTTTCACTTCCTTTCACCAAAAAAAAAAACCAAAAACGCCAATCACAAGTGATAAGACTTACTGGATTGGACAGAACTGCGAAAATATTTGTGGAAGAAAGTGTTTTTCTCGATTTACGAAACCCGAAGACTTCTGATAGTCGTTTCCTCGTTCCGGGAAAAGAGGTGAAGTCTGCACTTTTGAACGACATAACAAGAGATTGTCAAAATTCTTATCAGTTGTCGGCGAATTTTCGGCCACGTGCAAATGTCATTCTGGTGGTCAAAAATGAAGGAAAGTACTGAGGGTTTTTGACCGAGAAGGAGCTAAAATCACTCGATATGGGAAGAAGCCGCACGTTTTTGGTTTTCGAAAAGCATTGGGCTTCATTTGCTTTAACTTCATAACGTTACAGTAAATCCTGAATGCCTTCGAACAAGTTTTATTCTAGAAAATACAAAAAAAATACAGGAGGTCCAATAAATTATCCGCGGTAAGTTGAAAGCGTCTGATCAGGTTATGTCTCACTTTTTCTTGGTTAGAAAGTGTAAGAAAAGAAAAAAGTGGATGAGAATCCGTTTTTCAGATTTAACAATGGAAACTGAACGTCTGCTTTTTTGAATGGATATTTTTTCATAGGTTTTTTTTCCCTCTTTCATTTTTTTTTTTTCAATTTTTTAGGAAGCTCTGAGCAAACTTTAAAAAGATCGCGGATCGAAAAACCGTTTCTAAATTTTAGAGACTTCACGAGAACTGGACGCATTTCTAGGGATAACTTAAAAGACTGACGCAACTAAAGTGATCCCTTGAATTGCTCCGACACGTTCGGAACGCTTCCTATTCGGTTGTTCAAAAACACTCTCAAAATATTTCCATATCAGCTCTCAAAACCCGGATTAAGTACCCATTTTCACAAAGAAACCCTTTTTTTCAGATGCTTTTCAACGCATTTTAAATATTTAATAATTTATTTAAAGTACAGGAAATAAGAAAATCGATGCATACGAATCAATTTACAAACACATGAAAACCTATAAAGACTGAAGTGTTTCGAGATCACAGGTCGCAAAAATCTTGGTGGATTTTGGCAAGGGGGCGCAGAAAAGAAGGCCTCGCACAAGTACTCGTAATCGGATGATGAGGTGAAGTTTGAAGGAGAAATATCGGAAGAGAAGACTAGAATGACTACCGTCGGGAGTTCGTGGCGTTGAGTAAATATGAGGTATTTTTCGAAAGGTCGGTAGAAATGGATAAATTGTGAGAAGACTATTCGGAAAAAGTTCGAGCTCAATCCTCTTCCTGGATGTCGAAGAGTTGAGGTGATGGCGGACGAGAGAGAACTCGCTTCTTGTGACTTCTGGAGATCGGCCTCAGGGGCGACGTCAGGTATGGAGACGTCAGGTGTCGCAGAAGCTGAAAATCGGAAAGTTAGATCGAACGGAACAAAAAATGTTTTGTTTGTAGAAAAGTTATCAAGGGGAATGGTCTAAAGAACTTCGTCGAAAAGTTCCAACTCTCTTTGAAAAAAAAAATCGGCAAAAAGATCTACTCAATACTTTAACACCTCCATAAGACACTTTTTGCACACCCCATCCAAAAAAAACCAATAAAAACTTCGATTCTAATCACTGCAAAAACATGGCAATAAATCATGAGACGTTCATAACACCCGCCACTCTCCAAAAACACTCCCCCCCCACATTGGACGCCGAGATTTATCGATCATTATATGCGCGAGAAAATCGAAACCTTCTTCTCGATTTCGGCGACGCTCGTTCGTTTCCGTCTTGAAGACGTCGACGACTTCAGGAGCAACGACGGATGTCTGGCGGCCTTGTGCGAGTCGGGCGCAGATTCTCCGCAGCAGTTCATGACGCAAAGGACCGTCATCCAGAACAGCTGCATGCACCATTGTTGGAGTCGTTCAATTACTGCTTGGGCCAGGATTTGTCGCACTTGGGCCGACGTCATCTGCTGCAAAGGATATTCATGAGAAACTGAGAAAGAAAGGTCAAAATTTTCAAGGAAGGAAAAAAATGATATTTTCATATATATTAATAAAAAAAAACTGCTTTTGACTGTACTGCAAAAATTTCATTGGCTTTTTCTGACTTCTAATTAAAAATGTTCTTTTTTTATTTCAAAAAAATCTTGTTTTTAAAAAAACTTCTTGTGTTTTCAAGGCAGGAAGTTTTTTTCGCAAAGAATAAATAGGGTCAAAAAAATTGTCCAGGAATAAGACATTTTTTTGAGAAAAAAGAAATTTTTCTCATCCAGTTGGTTTTAGCGAAAAATTCAAAAAATTTTCACATTTTTACAAATCGAAGTCTTACGAAGATTTTCAGCCGGAAAACTAATAAATTAGCATGAAAAAACTTCTTAAAAGGACAAAAAAGTCACGAGGAACATGTATTTTTTGATCTCTTACGCCGTTGGGGAATCGATCAAAAATCAGCTAGGCAAAAAGACGCTTCTATTTGATCTTCACCACGTTGTAGGAGCCAAAAACGGAAGTTGGTAGTTTATATGAAGAAAATGAACAACTAGGAAGATAAGAGAGTTTGTAGAAGTTATGTTATTTTTGAAAAAGTGAAAATGAACATATGAAAAAGTTAGATAGTGAAAAAAAAGATGAAAAATTTCCATTCTTGGAAGAGGACGAGAAAAAGGAAAAAAGAGATAAAAGCTGGATAAATGAGAAAGAAGTCGAGCTAACCTGGGACTTCTGGCGACTGGTCGAAGGTTCGACCTCGAAGAACATGGGCGGCAGCTCTTCCATTGGATCACGTGGACAGCACGTGGATATCACAGACACAGTAGAGCTCGTGAATGTGTGAGCTTGAGGGAACGTGAATGTGTGCGTGTTTTCGTGAGCGTGAGTGTCACTGTGGGAAAGAGACTAGAACTGGCCCCTCGCTCGTCCCCTTTTATACCGCCGGTGCCGATTTGGGGGCGGAGTCGGCCGAGCTCCGCCTATTTTGCACCCGAAAAAGGCCCTAAAGAACGGCTATTTTTTTAAGCGATAAGGGCCGGAAAATTGTATTGACTACAAGGTTTACGATGGTGGAGAATTTTGGATTTTGCCCCTTCAGTTTTTTGTTGACAATCTTCTTCATGTTTGGGATGGTTTTCAATTTTTGCAGGCTTGACTTGGATTTTTTTTATCAGTATTACGGTAGGTGAAAGTTTGGGAGTTTATCTTTTGGAAAATTAGTGATTTTCAAGGAAAATATTAATCTGATCGCTCATTGAGCTGACGAGGGAGATCACTTTACTCGAAGCTCTAAACATTTTTCCAGTTTATCTGAAAGTTTCTTGACTAAGGTCCTCTACTGAACTCCATTAATTTTATGAAAAATGGAAGAATTTTGAAAGGCTGGTAATTTTCAGGAAAAAAATAATATAAAAAGTTACTTTCTTACGGTGAATCTAAATGGTAAGCTTCCAAATTTCCCAAGATTAAAAATCATGTTACAGATTTGATCGCTCTTTCGAATTTGAGCGTCAAAAATTATATTATTTATTTTTTTGAAGATATTTTTTTCTTCTCTATAACCACCCTTCTAAACTTTTGACATTTTTTTCGCGTTTCAGAACTAAAATTTAAAGTTTGCGAGTAAGATTGCTATTTCAAACACAATAAAAAATTTTAAAAAGCGAGAAGTTTCATTGCAACGTCTTTTTTTAAATCAAGTAATCATTTTTTAGACGTTTCTGAACGAATTTTTAACTTCAAAGATCTGATTTTTCGGATTTGATCGCTCAATGAAGTCGCCGCTGTGTAAGTTTCAAGAATCTCGGATTGATTGCTCTTTAAGCTCCAGTGGATCTCCCAAACAATTCCGAAGCTTCTTAGAATTCTCGATATCTAAGTTAAAGAAGAAATTCGTTTTGATTTTTCGAGTTTTGACAAAATGATTTTCAAATTTCCCTTTTCAGTTGTTTCTATAGAAAAATGCAACCAAGAACTTCAATTAAATATTCTTTAATATAATGTATAATCTAAACCCTCACTTCCATCTAACATGCAATACCCTGTCCTGATTGACTCATAAGCTGTTTACCTTTAAAAAAATGAACTGCTGACTGGAGAAAGACAAGGTTCCGCATAAAAAACAAAACACTAAATCTTTCGTTAAATAAGGTCTTTATTCGCAAGAAGTGTAGATAAACGCCATCGTCTTCGGTGTTTGGCTGGAAATTTGACAGGTGTGAAAAAAATAACAGAAAGGAACGGCGCCACGGGCAGAGAACGATCAAATTTCGAGAAAGGTGCGAATATTTTCCATTCCCAAAAAAGGAGTAGTTATCACCCCCTGCACACTTCGAGGTCCATCAAAAATGGCTCGAATGGATGGGAAATTCTGCAATTCTGCAATGACCTCGACGAAGTTTCTTCGAAACACTCAATGCCACTTCTTGATTAGATAACCTCCGACAAAAACTATATCTTCTCCAAGGCCCCTCAAGGCAAACAATATTTTCCAAACTGGTTCATTTTCCGCTGACATCGCATTTTGCACACGTGTGTTCCACGCAGAAACTGCTGCGTTTACCATTTTTCTCGATAAGGTTCTGGAGGAATCCTCCAAAGATTCTCCATTGTTTTGAGCGGCCTATCGATGCTACTTGTAATCGTATCATATCAATGGAGGATTATAAGATCGAAATTTTGTGGGGTGATTGGATCGGCCGAAAACTTAGAATTAACTACGAAAAAAAGCTTTTTGTATCGGTAAAAAATAAAAAGAATGTTCCGAATATTTTGATGTAGTGATTCCTTCGTGTATTTTACAGTAATTATCAAACTTTGCTTAGATAATTGTTCAGCTAGCCGCTTCAAACATTTTTGGTTTTACAATCGAAAATTAAATTTGAGCTGCGAAATTGGCTTATGAAAAAATCAAAACTTTTGATCAGAAGATTCCAAAAAAGCAGAGCACTAACAGGAATGTGTGCTATACGAAAATAAGTCTGCAAAAACTTAATTTCGAATTTTTGCGTTACTCCTCAAGCGATGACGATAGGATTCAATTTTTTGAACATCAGACTCAATTTTTACGGTTCTTCTCAATATTTTTGATTTTCTTTTTCAAATATACTGTTAAGATAACAATTTTCCTAGAGCCTCTGGGCTAATTTTTGAAAAAGTGACCCTAATTCCTCTGTAGCGCACTGAACGATACCAACTTTCTCAATTTGAAATCAGTAATTCCTGCGTACTCGAAGAAGAATGTAGCCCCGCCAGAACTGCAAAAACAAACGTTCGCAGCGACGGTCCAATGGAAGCGGGTCTTCGGCCACGACGACCTCCCTTGTTTTCCTCGGCCAAAAGTCGAAATGTTCTCTTTTTGGAGCTTTTCTTATTGAAGGCTGTCAATATGGTATAGATCTCACTGTTTTCCCTTCCAACATTTTTTTACAAGAAAAATTTGAAGTCTCCTTAATGAAATTACATTTAAGATGAAATTTAATTGAAATTTTTTGTTGCGAGTCCTGTAAACCTGTAGAGCCAACTATGAATGAAAGCCTTAAAAAGCTGAGAAAAAAAGCGTTGATCGATTTGAAAAAGAAAATTACTGTTTATAAAGCGCACTCGAAACATTGAAAAACGTGTATTTTATTTTTTTATTTATATTTTTTTGATAAAAAAATCGCATTCAAGATTTTCGAAGAAAATTTAAAAAAATATCCTCCTTCGATTCATTTTCATGAGGGATTGGGATTAATATGAAAAAGTTGGACGTGGTTCAAAAAAATAAGAAGTTGAAAAAAAGTTGAAGACTCTCTTTTTTTGTTTCAAAAGCTTTAAAAAAATTTATCGCTTTACTTTTTGAAATTCTTTCCTTTCAGAAGAACTTATGATTTTTTTTTGCACCCTAAAGACTTATTATAAACCATTTTAAAGGACTACAAAAGCTTAATTTCGTCAAAAACTCCCAATTTCTCGTTTCCCTCGAAGAAACTCTATTCCAATGATCTTCGCTTGACCCCGGCCCGAAGTCGATCTTTGTGAATCGACCACGTAGATCAAAAGAAGCCTACCGAATTGGGTGCGAGGAACTGGACCCCAGTGCCAACAGACAGGCGAGAGGCGGATTGATGAGGACAAAGTTCGCGCCGACGACAATTTTCCCATTCATTTCACACGCGCCCAATCTACACAATCGTACACTTGGACCACACGTGTCGTCCACGTGAAAACGGGAGGAAAAGAAGAAGCATGAGGGTGGGTTACGGTAGCTATCGATAGGGCAAAGTTTCGGCGTTTGCACAAAGGAAGTTGGGTTCGAATAGTACACAGACGGCTGCTGAATGGCTTTTAGAAGGTTTAGAGCTGATTTTATCGATAAAGCCTCGAAATTCTACTTGAAGTTGTTTGGAGAGTTGTAAAGTTTGTTCAAAGTTTTTCACTAGAAAATCAGAAATTATAAATGACCTAAAGTAACGTTGAAAGAAGGGGTATTCATTTTGAAAAGGAATCATTCCAAGTTTCATAGGCAAAGACGGAAGGACCCTCTGAGGCTGCTGGAAGGCTTCATAGAAATGTTCCTTTCAGATGTTTTTGCTGCCTCTCCCTTTCTCCACCATTTCTCGATTCTTTAAAATCCCAGACAAATGAAAGGTTCGATAAAGAGTATCTCTTTTTTGATTTTTGCGGCCTTTCTGCGGCCTTTTTTGAGCCTCTCCCTTTTATTATTCACCATTCCGACTTTGCCCGAGTTCTGAAAAAGCCCGAGAAAAGTTGATCAAACTATATTTATCCAAAAATCTGCCTCAATCAAAAGTAGATTGAAAGAACTTTGATCCTACATTTCGCCAATAATTGGCCTCCAAAAAGACCAAAATAAGAGCAAAATCCTCAATGACCTATTTCAAATTTAAAAAAAAACCTATAACAACTTTACAGTATGACATAATGATATACTCATGCTTAAAGTGAAATTACTGTCTTTGAAATCCTGAAAGAAATCTTTAAAACCAGAACCTTATCTTTTTTTTTTTGCAAAGCGATAAGTTCACTTCAAACTTTAATTAATTTCTCACACTCGCCCTTCAAAAAACCCTGTTTATGAAAATTTTGTCACAAAGATCTCAATTCCGCACTTTCCCACCTGATAGTAACTTTATTTGGAATCGAAAACATATCCAATTTTTCACGTGCCTTCTTGCTGATTTTCATAACTTGCCAGTTTCTGTTTTTCTTTCTATCTGTCTTTTTTGAAAGGTAATCAGTTATCCTTATCGTACTGATAATAATAGGACACTTCTTGGCCTTAGAAGTTACTTATACCTTTCAAATAGGCTTGTGAAAACTTGAATGATGCAAAATAAGTTGTTTGATAACAAAGAATCATTCAAAAAAAAAAAGAAGAAACAAACGTTTTCCTGTGACAATGGCCATGAAAAGAAGGAAGCCTGCGGAAGTTGAAAACGCCCAACGATTTTTGACCACCTTCAAACAAAAGTTATCACAATTCGACCTTATCATCCTTTTTCTTATCACTCTCCGGATCAACGCACACTTGCTGAAGTCAGCTTTTTGGATTATGCGAGACCAAAAGACGAAACGGAAAAAAATTAATTTTTCTGCACTTCTTCGTTGCAAAAAAAGCTCAAAGTTTTTTTCACGTCCTGTTTTTTTTTCAAAACTACGCCTTTTTCTGAAACATGGCCATTCAAGTCACAATCAAAAGCTTGAAGCAATGGTTTCTTCTTATTAAAAAAAATATTCTCATTGACAAACAAACTTGGAAAAAAAGGAAATCGTAAAATTTTATAGTTTGAACGCAAAAAAAGGAAAAGGAAGTTAGTCACACGTTCAACTCAAACTGGTACAGAAAAATCACACGTTGTCAACAAGATTCTCGAATTTTTAAAGAACGTTCGAAAATATAAATATTTATCGGAAGAGGACACTTCCCTTTAAGGATATTTTCCATTATTCTCACTTTTTTTTTACTTTGTCCGCTACATTGTTCCCATTTTTATGTTGGTTGCTTGAACCTATAATTAATAAACAAGTGCGAAGAACGCTCAGAAGCGAAGATTTTTAAAGATTGCCATGTGTTCAATGATGTCTTGATTACGTGAGAATTGACTATACAACGTGAGGAAAACACGGAAAGACGTGACAAGCGACAATTTGCTTATGGCAGAATGATACATTTGTGAAAATAATACGGTAAATACAAACAAAAACACTACAACGTTGCGCAAGACGTCATTCACGCTTCAAAAAGAGTTCGAAGAGGGGAACTTAAAATGAAAAAAAAAGCAACCGAGAAAGAATTAAATTTTAGTTCATCTCATAGTTGAAAATGAAATCTCGAAAGTCCAAACATCGAGAAAGCTCAAACTACATGAAGAAAAAAAAAGAAAAAGTTCGGCAAAAAAAATTCAGGTTTTCCACTTTTTGCTGCAAGACCGCTCTATGGCTAAGTTCGCGATCGAAATTTTTTTTTTCTCGGTATTGTCATGTCACAGGTCTTTTTTTCCAATGTTCTAAAATTTTCTCTGTTATCATATAACATTGAATGGGTGTTCTATTTTTTTTGTGTCATTCGAGTTTTTTTTTTCCTCTCAGAAAGTTATTTGGGCAATTTATTTCACTCCTGAGGTCAAAAAACGTCCTATTACTATCAGGACGACGAACATAACTGATTACCTTTCAAAAAGTGATGAATAGACAAGAAAAAAGGATTTAGCAAGGGCAAGTTATGAAAAACAGTCTGAGAGCACGTGAAATATTCATTCTGTTTTCGTTTCTAAAAAAAAATTTACTATCAGGTGGGAAAAAGTGGAAATCTGGGATCTTCGTGATGAAACTACCTATAGAAAAATATTTTTTTGAAGAGTGGGAAGGGGGAAAAGGAAATAAGTTACAGTTTGAGTGAAATTAATCGGTTTTGATAGTGAAAAAAATTTCCTTTCGAAAAATTACTTCAAAAATCATAAAATCTTGAAAAATTCTGACTTTATTGAATTCAAAATCGTTTGCTTGAAGTAGTGGTTGAAATTTTTTTGCCTAGGTTGATCTTTTTCACGCTTATCAAAGTAATTATTTCTGAAGTATAGTCAGTCCTCCCGGCTTTGAAGGAGATTATAGCAAGGGTGAAGCGTTGCGTTCGCGACGCGGCTTTTTGCCGTAGAACTCGAGGTCGAACACTTTTTATTATGCTTTTTTTTTATCCATTTTTTTCGACAACTATCTCAATTGAAAAAAAGTTTAATTGAACGTTTTAAAATTTAAAAAAATAATAAAAAAACTATTTTTTTTTCTACATTTTTTTCTATGATTTCGTTTGGCTTCGAATTTACCCGCCAAAAAAAGCCGCGTCGCGTACGCAACGCATAACCCTTGCCAATCTGCCTATCTCGCCTTTAAAGTCGGACAAAATTGATATAGCTATGAAAAAAAGTTCGTCAACTCTTTGCAATCAGCATCAAAAATCAAGAATGACTTTTCACGATTTCGACATTTTCCTTCCATTCTGACGAAGAAAGAACTTCAACCTTTTGCTTATCTTTCATTATCATCAAGTTAAAAGTATCTCTTCGACAAACCGAAATCTGTCTTTTCTAATCACCCTCGCCCCAGAGTTCTGACCTTCCTTCCCGCTATCAGTGGTTTCCCCCGTTGAAAGTTCTTTGCTGGGTATTTTCCGGTCGAAAACTGGAAAAATGTCTCGGTGTTGCATCAGCCTGAGCGCCTCCAGCGAACGACCGCCTCGTTCTCAGTTCAAACTGATACCGAAGAGCGGGGGCTGTGGGAGAAGTTTAAAGAGAGCAAAGCCATGCAAAAGAAAACAGCTGGGGGCTTTTTTCCTGATGAGTGTAGGAGAATGCGGCTATTCTTGGGATAAAAATAGTCTGAAAAGACTTGGAAAAATCATCAAAAGTAACTATTTGTTTGAATATTTTTTTTCATAGGCTCTAGGGTTGCTCAGAGTCTTTCTGAAAGTTCAGAGGAAGGACCCTTATAGCCGCTACCTGATCCAACTTCTAGTTTTTAAAATAGTTATTTTTAAAGTTTAGAAAGTTGAGCCTGAAACCAAGATTTCGAAAATTACAAAAATAATATCATCAAAACGAAAATTTCTCGCTTATTGCTACTGTGAGGGACCTTCATGGGGATCTTCAGACGCTGTTCGAGCAAATTTGTAGAAAATTCCAAACCGCCAGGTAAAATGAGCTCACCTGTAACCTTTCTAGGAACTGGAGCGTTATTTGAAAGCTAGTGGAAACTACACCTTGTGTTTGAAGTAGCTTTGAAGCAAGTCCACTTCATGAAAGTTTTTCTTTCTTCTTAGCTTTTTTCCTATAAACTGAACTCGTTTTTCATCTTTTTTCGAAGCTGAAAAATGTTCCAACCTAGTAGATACTACCGCTTATCTCATGCCTAAAATAATTTTGTAGCGCGAAATTTTACGAGCGATTCGAAACCGCCGTGAAATTTTGGAGAGAACAAAGTACTTTGCTGATAAATTTTAATAATGAAAAGATATTTTTTTACACTTCCGTAAATGGTTTTTGAGCCATCGAGAATAAAAAAATTCGCAATTTTAAAAACGTATCTCTGGAATTTTTTTCTTTTTTTGATTTCGAGTTAGAGATTTTAAAAATTTTGGATCATTCGGAATCTTGCAGAACATTGAATAATTTTTCTACCTTTATTTCTTCATTTTCCAAATTTCAAAAGATTTTCAAGTTTTTTTATTAGTTTAATTGAAATGCTTCCCTGAGAAATTTGAATGGGATAATTGTTTGATATGTGAAATTTATCATTAATTTTCAAGATCTGAACCATCAAGAAGTTGACTTTCTCTTGACTTTCAAAAGTTCAGTGAGATTGAAAAATTCGACAATCTGCCAAAAAAATATTTATTAAGTTCATTCTCATGATTAATTGGCGAATGATGTTATCTGGCCCGGAAGCTGTTGATAAAAAATGATGAAACAAACATTTTAACTTTTGAACTGACTAATTTTCGAAGCGCCATCTTCAAATTATAGTATTATACTTTTTGGGAGTAGAATTTCCGGTTCCAATTTAATTTTTATCGGAATTTTTTTATATCTAATAGATCCAAAAAGATCCAAGGGACAATAGAAACTGGGAATTCGGTCATGTTCAAAACAAGTTCCAAAGAAAATGGGATCGGATCAGATCAACCGAAAGACCGTAACTCAATGACGTCATTCGAATCCGGTCGGAGGGCGACGTTATCGGCTTCACGTGCCACGGTCCACTTTGGCCGGAATCGAAAAGAGTAAGAAACTCGACGTAAACATAAATAAACTGATCTGTGTATCCATCAAAACGTGACCTCCTCGGCGGGTGTTGCGATGTTGGAACTTTGTCCTTTCCGCTCTTGTCACACAAGGACAATGCTTTGAAGCGGTAAATTTGAGCAAAGATCAGTAACACCAAAGTATTTTTCGGTAGGATAGGTCATCATTCAAGCTTCTACAGCGAAAAAGGTCATCTGAAAAAATCGAGTTTCGAAAAAGAGTTTTTTTTTTCAAGAAAAATCTTCCACAGAAAGTTTTAAAGTAACCGGCCCATGAAATTTGGTATAAAAATTGAATAATTAGGTACGAGTTTGGATTGAAATGAGATTACAGGACTTACAAGGAAGGCCATTTTACTTGATGATCGGGAGTTTCCTGAAAATCGGCCTGAACACCTTGATATACCAAAAGCGAATTCCGAAAGCCTCAACCTGCAATAATTCCTAGTTTTAAAAAAAGTACACCTCGAAATAAAAGAAGACGCTCAAAGTCCATTAAAATAAGCAATATCGGGGCTTTGAGCTTTTATTTTCAAAAAACTTGCTGGTATAAGTTATACCTGCACGTTTTTTGAAAATATACCGTATAACCTTTGAGGATCATTCTCTGGTACATCTCGGAGTGTTTCGGTCGATTTTCAAGAAATTCCCAACCTCAAAGTACAGAACTACTTGTTAGTGGGAAATAATTTGATTTTTTGAAATACCTTTTTAGAAAGTGATTGAGGAGTACGTAACTCACAGAAGCCAGAAAATTTGAAAGGTTAATTTATCATGAAGGGCTCGAGACAAAAATCTTTTTTCGGGATTTTTCTTTTCTTAGATTTTGTTTTTTATTTTATATCCGGTTTCAACAATGGCGAATATGGTATTAATTAACTACATCAAGTGAAGTGAAAGGGTCTGAAGCTTCAGATTTTTTCCTCAATTTCACCGTTTTCTAGGTATTTCTTGTTAAAAAATCATAAAGATACCGTCTCTTAAACCTCTTCGCATAAAGTGTCACAGAGGCAGCAAATTTGAGATTTTCAAACGTTAGTTGTCCGCTTTGAAAACATGGGAAGAGTCATCTTTAAGTTCTATTCAAATTTCACTACTTCTTTTTTTGAACATTTGCTTTCATTCATTTTCTATTTTAAACCCGGCTTCAACGTGAGAAAAACCTTTCTGGTTACCGGAATGAAAACTCCAATTACCTCTATTTCTTCGAACTCGAAGTTGAATAAAAAAACAACCTTTCAAAGTATTATACCAAGAAGGAAGTACTTTCACGGTCAACTTAGAGGACTTTGGACCCACCATTAGTTGGGGCAACATTGCGTCAGCTTCGCCGTGTCTGGCGTTCGCTTTTTGCATCATTCTAACCTCCTCCGACAAGAACTATGTTTATGAGGCTGGGGGAGGGGGGGGATAGTTTTTGAAAAAGATAGAAGGGAAGTTCTAGGGAAATATATAAATTCAAACTTTGAAAGAATTTTTTTGAACTTGGATACCAGAGTTCAAGACCCAGTCGTTGTTCCAAGGCAGGTCAACGTTTTCACCAAAAATGATTCCGCGAACAGTTTCTTCCGTCTCGAAAACTGGTCGAATTGGTGTTGAAAATCTCATTTTACGTTGATAAATCAGTGATATCATTAATTTCTTTTTGAATTTTCAACACCTTTTCAAACTATCGGATTGATCTTGAAAAAGAGTTATAGGAAGACACACTGCGATTTTTACAGTGATACTACAAATCCGTTCAAAACTGCTTGTCGGAGAGTTCAGAGAAGTTCTTAGTAACCTCAAAGAACACATAAAATATAAACACTGCTAACTTTTAAGCAACGGAAAAATTAGAATATAACGAATCACGGTCTGTAACTTGTTCCTCTTGAACCTCAATGTTTGCAGTTGGTCTGAACTTTATTCTAAGCTTTCAGTTTTTATCATCGTAGGCTTGAAGTCGTCTGCAAAATGTTGCACTCTGAGGACACTTACACCCACTTGCCGCCTTCCTTTCATACTATAACATGGAAGAAAAAACGACTGACGAAGAACGATTGGGAGAAGCGAAGAAGCACGTGAAGGAGACGTGGGACACGTGCTCCCAACAGAGAGCGGCTTCTTCTTTTCTTCTCGTTTTCGTTCTTTGTGTCACTGGAAACGTTGCCCCAGGGACTTTTTGTAAAAAATGTGAATGGTTCAAATTTTTGAGGAGAATTTGTCAGAGAACGCTTGAAAACAAAAATAAAAAAGTCCCGACTCGAGCTTGATTTGGGGCTTTATAAAGCCAGATTTGACTTGAGTTCTGTAAGATCTTCAAAAATTTGCATTTAATCAATTGAACTGAAATAGGAGTCTTTTGAAGTTAAAGAGACAAATGACCTTGGAAAGTGAGATTTTATTTTACAAAATGGCCATTTTCTTGCAATTTCTATGCACCGTCGAGAATTGCCTAAAAAAAATCCAGTTGTCTTCGACCTTTAAGATTTAATTTATCCTTTAAAAAAATGTTTTTTTCAATATATGTGCTCTAAAACAATAAATTTATTTTTTTCAGTAAAAAAACTAGTTGTGAAAAAAACTATCGATTTTTCACTAACTGACAACGAACTGGTTCCTGAAACTAGTCCTAAAAATCGGGAATTAAATTCTTTTTGAAGAAATGGAGAATAATTGGCACAGGGCAAACTATCCTTTTTTTAGGCTTGAAATAAATTGAAATTTTTTTTTTGAAAAAAAGAAGAAAAATGATTCTTGACAAGTTTTTCCAGGTTTGAATTGGAAACACTTGAAAAGACCCGTAGAGTGAATTTGTATGAATATTCAGAGCTTTATAAATTTTGCAAAAAAATCCTTTTCGGACGATACACCACTTTACAAGCCTACCTAAAAAAATTTTTTTTTAAGCCAGACATTTTCGAAGATTTTCGAATTTTAAGCTTTTTCCTTGCATTTTATCATTTTTAATTTTTTTCAAACCCAGAGGAAGGCGGGGGGGGACGATTTTTAGGTTGAAAAGTGTTCAATTATTTTTCTCTATTAAAAGAAGAGTTCTAAAAACTGTTCCAGGCTTGAAATGAAAACTCTTGAAAGAGTAGACAAATTGTAACTGTACAAGATTATGAACTCTGCCCAGAAACTCTCTTATTTTGAAACCACACACCACTGTACAAACGCTTTCACCCAATTCTCACATCAGATGGCATCTTGAATGACTCAATGCCGGGGCACGACGACGGCGTCTTCGCAGAGGCCAGGTTACGGTGGACACGTGTGTGTAGCGTGGCCGACGGTCCGTCAGACCGAGGAACGCCGTGCTCTCGTCGTATCGCCTCCGATTGATTCCCGCTTGTTTATACTTTATCTGACGCTCGGTAATTGATGGGAGGCACAATAAACAACCCGGCCGCAGTAATGAGAAGACTTCTGGGGCCAGTTTCAGGAGGAAGTTTTTAGCTTCTTTGTTCGAAATCGGTAGTTTTTTTGAATACCTTGCTAACTAGGGAACGTTTTTTACCCCCCGATTGAACTTTTGATGAAACTTTGCGGAAGTGTACTTTAGGACCCCCTGATTCCAGAACAGAAAGAAAATTTCTCGCAATAGATCTTGTATCCGAGTTAGGACACTTCAAAAGCCCGAAATAACGCTTTTTTGGACTAATTTGCGTATTTTGCACACTTTGAAGCTCCATATTTCGGAAAAATTGCGAGAAATTTTTTTTTTCTGCAACCAGGAGTCCTAAAGTACATTTCGGCAAAGTTTCAGCAAAAGTTCAACCGCGGGGGGAAGGGGGGTAAAAAAACGTTGTGAGTTCAAATTAGGCTTCACGACCTAAATTCAAATCAAATTGATCCTAGAACTCGAGCAGATTTTGCTCAAAAACGCCACATACCTATAATTTTGGACCCGGAAATCCATTAAAAAAGGCAGTGGAAAACTTCAAAATGATCCAACGCAATTAAAGTTTACCCAAAAAATACCGCTAAAGCCTCACTTATCATTTATCAAACCAAAATGATCTTCCTAAACCCTAAACTAATCTCAGAATCCAAAAACAACTTTGGAAGACTTCATAGTCTGTTCGACGGGCAGACGTATAGTCGGGGGGCAGATAAGCCAGACGGAGTGACCTGTCGATTTGTTGACGACGAACAACAGATCGACGTCGGATCAACAATCAGTTGGCCTCGATGCTCTTCACGTGCGGTCCCTCCAGTCATCGTACAGCTTTAGATAACAAGCTCAAGTTTTTTCCCCCGGGATCACGAGTGATTGTTGTGCTTCTGCCGTCGATGATGCAACTTCCTCAAAGGATTGCCGAAGAACGGTTTTCGTCATGGAAAGGCGCACTTTGAAGGCTGTCTGACAGTAAAAACTCTGGATAGATAATGAGAAAACGTGACAAAATGGCTCGAATATTTCATTTTGTTGCAGGTTCTTATCGAAACTTTTTTGTTTAAGTGTTCTTTGCCGTCAAACATTGGAGAAAATTTGACTGAATTTTGAAAGGCGAATATTCAAATGAACAAAAAATGAAACTGAAAACTGTTCTTGTTAAGAATTTTGCACTTTATGTGCCATTTTTGACTTTTCCGACTGAAAAATACATTAACTGGAGGATATTTGAAGTTTTTCGGTTTGGAAACCTTCAAAGAGCCATTAAAAATAAATAATTTGAAGATTCCCAGGCCAAATTTGAAGGAAAAAAACTACCTTCAATGCCACCAGCAAGGTTCTAGAAATGAAAATAAATTATTAAATTATCAGAAAATATTGAAAAAAATAAAACCTAACTTTTTTTGCTATGCGTGACTTATCTATCTTTTTACCTTCTCATCAAGACTATTATTTCCTTCAATTTCAAAAAAATTTAATGAGATGAAAGAAAAATCAGTGATAAAGCATTCTCCTTTGAAAAAAATAATTAAAAAAATAGTCCAGGAACAGTCGTGCTTTTATTCATTTTAATTTTTTTATTGAAAAAAATTTGGAGAAAAAAATGTTTTTTTCTCCCTGTTTTTTTACTTGAAGGCGTTAAAAAAAAACAAAAACTAGCTATTCCAAACATTCAGGGCCTCTGAGAACAATAAAAATCGTTTTTTTCAATAACGCTGAAAAATATTTTTGTACGTGAGCGTTGTGGAACGTCGTACAGCCAGGAATAAACAAACTAATAAAATTCAGGAGAAAAAAACGCAGGTGTATTAGAAAAATGGGAATTCTTCATCATTTTATGTATCTAAGAAACTGTAATTATTGATAACATCCAAATTTCGTGTTTCAAATTCAAATTCAAACTGGTTTTTTTCAAACGAAAGCTATTTTCAAAACATGAAAAAAGATTAGTTTTCCGCCTTTTTTATGCGGATTGAAATTTCAAATTTGTTTCGATAAGAAGAGTTTTCAAAAATGTAGATAGCCTGCAAACCACATAAATTTCCAATTTTTCAGATTTTCCCCATGAAGTATAATTTATTTGCCGTACTGAAAAACGCACTGGTGGCATTTATAAATGGTTAATTTTAAAAATTATTGTTCTGAAAGAGATTTTCAAACTGAAAGATGAGTTTTCTTGAACCATGATGTACAACCCTATTGGAAACTTGACTTCGTACAAAAAGATTCGAAAAAAAAAACGGAAAAAGATCATTTTGGTCAAGGTTTCCAACTTTTTCAAAGAAATCTGTCTCAAAAAGAAAAAGTGCACTGTTCTTTGTGTCCTTTGCCTCAGAAAGTTTGTCAATAGATGACTCCAACTGATAATCAGACGCTACCGTAGGTTTCCCCCCGAACTTTGTTCTTTGTGTCGATTCTGATAAAGATAACCAACTGTTGTATTGTTTGCTCTTGATGATGTGTTGCAACAGTTTTGAACAGAAGGATTTACTCTAGCCGACCCAGGCGTTGCGCAGAAGGTCGTTGATCTGGTCGGCCGTGACTCGTTTCTCCTCGAACATGACGTCATCCAGAGGGAATAGGTAGGCGGCGCGGTTGAACCGCTCGCCGAGCAAGTCGTCGATGGACCGCAACGGCGAGTCCTCGAAACCGTAACGTCGTGTCTGCAAAGTCTAGAAAAATTAAGAGTATACTTCGAACAGCCTGGAAAGGTTGTTAAAAAAGCATCGAAAAATTTGAGCAACACAGGCGAATCGAGAAGGTACCATAATGTGTCCACAAAGGTACCTCTCAGAATGGAGACCTCATAATATGTTCATTGTGAGACCTCCGACATACCTTTTAGCCATATCTGAGCCATCTCAGAGGTACTTCAGAGTCTCTCAAGTCCATCTCATTTTGCTCAAAATCCTCAGAGGTATACTCGAGGTACCATCGTGAGACTTCAGAGCCTTCGATATACCTCACATGGTACCCTCTCTCGATTCGCCTATGAAAGAGGTTCCTGTGTCATCAAAGGTGAATTGAGAGGTCGACGCAATTAGCTACGGGGAAGCAACTTTTGAAAATGCGACCGGGTACCATCTCTATGGTACCTGGGTCGGAGGTCGATGCAAGTAGCTACCGGGTAGCTACCTGACATTCACGGATTCTTTCGGAAAGTCTGACATCGCTTCCAGTGTGGCTATTGTTTGTTTCAGCTTTATCCAATAGTACCCTGGAAGGCTCGGGAAGGTGTAAAAAAACACTGATGCTATATAAAAGACCGATGTGCCTGCCAGTGGCAATCGCGAATTTCAGGTACATACCCGATAGCATCCAGATACCGATCAGGTACTATCCAGGTACCATAGAGATAGTACCCGGTCGCATACAAATGACCACCGATTACGATTCGCCGATTGACTTGAGTTGCTACCTTGTATCTACCTCTCGATTCACCAGTGGAACCACATCAGCAAGGACAATTTTTGCGTGATTTTCATGAAAGAACAGACTTTTGCATCCTTCAACATCTTGGAGAGATATTTCGAAGGAACTTCAACTTCAAATTAACGTCCACTTTCCTGAACTGCTGGCTTTTCTCCAAGAAGAAAAAAAACCGAGAGAGCTACGCTAACTCGTTTTCGCGAATCGAGTTCAAACTGTGGCGGTTTAAAGATCTAGAGAATTAAGAAAACTTTTTTCTTTTCCTTATTTTTGGCTGGGAAAAGTTTTTCAGTGTTCATCATAGCCGGATCATTCAAGGCGATTTTTTTAAAAATAAGGCAAAAAGCAATATTCGGAAAATTTTCTGGCCTTATTTTCACATTTTCTACTTTTTTTCTCAGTTCTCCATTGGGTTTAGCAGATATTCGATCTTGGTTCCAAGTACCCTAACCTAGATCTTTAAACCACTAAAGTTTGAACTCGATCCGTGAATACGAGTTCGCGTAGTTCCCAAGTAAAAAATGAGAACTTCATTTTATTCAAAAAAAGTTAGCGGAACAATGATACTCAAAATTTCCACTTGCAGACGAGTTTAGTGATGTCTGAACTGGACTAAAGAACGAATTTGAACTGAAAAAAAGTCTCTGCATTTAAAAACGTCAAAAAAACAGGACTTCGTGGTTCTTAATTCGATTGTTTCGATTTTTTTAAATTTTCAAAAAAATCGGTTCGAGATGTCATTAAGCTAATAAATAGAAAAAAACTTGGAATAAACACAAATTTTTTTAAAAAAAGGAAAAAAATAGAATTATGCGATTTCTGAGTGTCACCACTGAAAAAAATATTTCAAAACCATATGAAAAAAATCTGACATGTGAAGTTGAAAAATTCCCTACTTTTTTTGAAATCAGACGCTTCCAAATGCTCTATTTTGGACCGTACTCAAGAAACTAGGTCTTCAAAGTTTGTTCTCAGAATATATGAAGATGACCAGTTTGAGACTTTCAGAAGTTTTAACTGATATATCTGTGACAGGACGCTAGTTGACCTGACCTCAATGCCATATGTACTATCATGTAGGCGTGCCAATGGCACGCCGCCTACTTGTATTGTCACTCTTGCGCTCAGCACGCATACCAACTGGCGGTGCTGAGTTGCTCTAATAAAGATCCAAGAGCAATGTCGGTTCTACACACATCTAAATAACACGTCAAGGCCCGGTGAAGCCTTGCGCGGTTATATGGAGGTACCACCGTAGAATCCGGCTGCTTGGACAAATTCACCTATTTCATCTGTTCTACCTCGTCCATCAGCCGCCTGCAGAAGCTACAGTCTTCTGCGGGGAACTCGACCTATTCTATTCCGCTAGCAGTTTTCGCATATCGTGTTCGGGATTCCAGCGAGGCTACAACTTTCTTCTGAAGCCGCTCCAGTGAAGCAGCGCACGAGTCCGGTCACGAGTAACGTCGACTCCTCCACATTGACAAGTTTTTTGAACTTTTTCACCGCGATTTTGACCCCTTTGTTGGTACGCGATACACGGTTGGGATGGTGGGATGTGTAGAGTGATATATATCGCCTGGCCTGTGAGCCCTTTTCTCGTCGATGACGACTTCAATCGCTAGTTCATATGTGTTGAGAGTTTTCCGTGCTTGTCTCGTTTTATTTTGTTGTAAGCCCCCCGATGTAGTTTACAAAACTCTTTTCTTCGATTTCCTTTTCTCGTTTGATCCTTGACCGGATACGTCCTTTACCTTGTCTTTTGATTGGGTTCCTAGATAAATAAGTGACGTAGGAATCGTTGTATAAGAGTCTGCTAGGGCTTAGAATTGTGTTGTAGAACTGATTTAGAGCGCAATCGTCCTCTTGCGTTAATATCTGTGTTTTTGTTAGACCGTCCTTGATTGCCTAGTCCTCAAAAGTTGTCTTAGTTTCACTAATCCCCGCTTCGGGACGAAGCTTTCTTGGAACGGAGGGATGTGACAGGACGCTAGTTGACCTGACCTCAATGCCATATGTACTATCATGTAGGCGTGCCAATGGCACGCCGCCTACTTGTATTGTCACTCTTGCGCTCAGCACGCATACCAACTGGCGGTGCTGAGTTGCTCTAATAAAGATCCAAGAGCAATGTCGGTTCTACACACATCTAAATAACACGTCAAGGCCCGGTGAAGCCTTGCGCGGTTATATATCAATCATTTTAAGAAAGAAAATAATGATTTTTAAGCGGTTAAGT